TTGCATCTATGTATATCAAAAGAAGTAGATGGTATACAGGGAGCTGATGTTGACCTTATAGTCTGCTACAGATCATCATACACTGTTCTCATATCATCAAGGTCCCACTGCATATACAGAACTTTGGTCTCCAGAAAGAACCACCCTGGAGACACCAGAAGTACTTTTCCTAGCTTCTGATGGATTACGTTCAAAGTGTAAAGCATTAAATAAGCAAAGAATTAGCATTTTCCTCTCTGATCTAAGAAATGAACTTCTCCCTGGATTGTTTCTCTCTCATTTCCGAGTACAGAATCTGGCCTTAAGTTATTGGGATGTTTAAACCTTTTGGCAGGAATGGTTAAGTGAAGTTCTGACCAACTTGCAGTAGCAATGCACTGAGCTCTCAAAGCAGTTTAAGGGGGTGGGAAAGGGAGATCCTGTTTTTTTTCATCACTATCCCTGGAATCTGATGTCCTCAGGCAGGAACTTTCCAGCTCCTATTTGAGTACTTTACTTAGACATTTGAAATCCCTTTTCAAATTCAAGACAATCTCCTCTTATTTGGCCTGGACACACAGGTGAGGATGATACTGGTTTACACTTAGGGCTCCAATTATTTAGTCATACAAATACAAAAATGAATCATAAGATGTAAGGTTTCTAATGGTATGGCTTGTCCTTCTGTGTTTTTGCACTGGGATCCCTATTTGACAACTCTGGATAAAGAATAAGGAATCTTATTTTCTATACCCTTTTATTTTTTCAAAACTTAATGTCTTAAAATTTAAGGCTATTGAGTTGCTGGTGTAAATGATATATTAGAAAGGTGCAATTCTTTATGTGGACCAGCACAAGATAAATGGATGACAGATCTGTGAGAGTATTCTTTTAAGACAGCACAAAAATACAAGTATTGCACTCCTATTCTCAAGTGAACCTGAGCAACCATATGTACTTGTGAGTATATATATATATATATATATATATACACTCCATCCCTTTACTAGTTCCCCAAAACTCTAGTTCCCAAAAACTCAAGCCTTTTCCACTTCTAATATTTTTAATCTTAGTTTTTCAGCCTCAACTCCCCCCACATAGCCAGGATTAGAAGCAGAATGGTAACTGACAACACAGGGAAATTTTCTACAAGATGAATACATCCAGAGGAGCTGTGTATCTCATTGTAAAGAAGATACAAACATTTGATCAGCTTGACAGCTCTTTAAACTCCATTATTTATAATGCCTGAGTCTCCAGTAATTAGAGCAGGAGATGAGACACCTAACTCCCATGCATAAACCCCAAACAAATTTAAATGTTTTCATCTGCAGCTGAATCTTACCCCAAGATGCATTCTTCCATAAGGTATAGTTGTTAAAATCAAAGAAGGGTTAGTGCTTATAAACTCTGATTCTAAAAATTAATAAATTATTTGTTTTGGGAACAATATTGTGAGATATAAGAAGTTACTGCTCAACTAAATACACAATATAGATTCTACTGACAAGAATCTGAAATCAGCGAGAAAGTTAAAAGTAATTATTTCTGAAGAAAAATGAGTTTATCGTAACAATTCTACAGCAAAAAAGATATGCTCTGAGAAGCAATGCCTTGATGCCTAGTATCATAAAACTTCTTAGTTTGTCTTCTGGCATGCAGTTTCTCTTAAGTGTATGTTATCTGTACTACAGCACTAAGCTTTCTATATGGGCTTTAAATAAAATTCCAGTTTGTTAGTAATACACCCTGCAGGAACAGATACTCCCTAAAGAGTGATGACCCCATACAGCACTTACACTGGCATAATTTTCACCAGTAAGATGAGCACAGTAGTCCTCAAAGGCTTCAGAGCTTTTTCTAAATACTTTTCTGTTCATTTTTTGTATGTTTTTTCCAAATTACTACAATGAATTTGAGTACTTCAACACCCTTTTTCATATCCTCCTTGAACACAAGTGCTCATAGGGTTTCTTCTGAACTATGACACCAAATTTTAGCTGTCTCAGTTATAAGACACCAGGTCCGTGCCCTAGGTCCAAGGGCAGCCAGCATGGAGCAACGTGTGTCCATGTTCCTCCTGTGTCCCTGTTCCTCATCTCCAAACCTCCCCAAGAGAGTGGCCACATACAAACTGTGTGCTGGAAATAGCCCCTGGCCCAGGCTGACTCCTAGGAATTGTCTGGGACAATGCTACCTTGCTCAGGTCTAAGTGTGATGACTCAAAAGCTGATGGTTATATTCCAGTAGAAGGAATCTTCTTGGTTGTTGCTAATTTAGTACTGTATACAAAGTCTACCTTATTTCTATGACTAAAACAAAGTGGACTACACAGCATGATTCCTCATATGCCAAGGTGCATTTAGGTTAGTTTAGGTGTATTGCCCAGAAACAAATTAACTGTATCTGAACAGAGACAGAATTAAACTGGAGTAATTAAACCTCATGTGAAAAAAAAGGATATATTTCAAATGCACCTACATTTTATTGCACTCTACTTATTTTGGACACAGCCCATTGCATTTCTGTGAGCTTTGTACAGATTTTCCACTAACAGAAGCAAATCACATCCACAATGAACTTCCTAGAACAATAATATGTACCTGTAGTTTTTAAATACCTAATGTATCTCATAGGACAAGACACATTTAAGAACCGCAAGCTTCTGCCAGTCCCTTTCCATAGGGATGTAACTTCGTTTTAGCATTTTGCTGGCATCTAGTCTGCTTTCAAGGAATTCTGTTCTTCTAGGGAACTTATTTTCCCTCCACTGTTTATTCAAACTTGCAATGTACTATGAAAGCATTATGGCAGCTACTGCAACTGAATTATTGCATGTAACATGTGAGTGCTGGAAATACATCCCTAAATTAGCAGTCAGAGTGACAGATGAATGGAGTTTCTCTCAATCCTAGGGGAACAAAAATGAAACAGAGCATTCACAGCACAATGCACTACACATTCCTTTGTATGTCAGTTCCGACATCTGATGGGAAGAATTTTTCCTGGTAGGGGTGGTATTTGAACTACAAAATAAATGATAAAAAGTTGATATCTAGAGAATGAGAGAAAAGTCAGCTTTGCAATGATATTGCCTGAGGTTTAAAAATACTTATATTTGATTTTAATAACAAGACAGTTTATTCCATCTATAACTGTTCTTACTCTAAGGAGTAGGGTTTCACTGCTATCTTAGGAAGGCAAAATACTAACTGTTATGAAGTGATGCATAGGTGCTATTCCAGTTTTTATTTTGTTTTGATTTTGCCAGTACAGGTAGCTGGTTTGCCATCATTTATTGCTATTATTGAAGTTTTTGTAATAAGTCATCTAAGCACAACGTATCAATACCATAATCATGTACCATGACAAAGCAATGTGAATTTTGTTCTTAATGTCTGCCCTGTATTTTAAGAGTATTTCACTCTCCTTTGCACATCACTATTATTACTGTTTTAGAGGTAGTCCTTCTGCTTCAAATGAAAATCACAGGATACATCAATAAGTTCTATATTTAATCCTATAAGAATGTAGTTTCTTTTTAATATGACAGCATTAGAGGGTGTTTTTCAGTCCAAAGTGTAGAATTGTTTGTTCTCCTTTGTAACATTTGAAAGTGGCTTAGAGCTTTGCTTACTCCTCCATGGTACAAATGCAGAATAGACCTCACAGAACAGCAAGCAATCTCATGAATTCTTAGCTCTAATTTTATACAATGTTTTAAAAGAAAAGAGTATAAACAATATTTGCTTTTTGTATCATAACTGAAACCATACTGCTAAACAATCATATCCTGTTTAGCTCATAATGACATCAGAAATATATGTTTATCATCTGCTCTGTACAACTTAGCATGATTTTGGCCCAAGGCAAAGTGGAACTGAAATCATTTACAGTTGTCCAAATCAAGATAACCACACATTTCTGACGTAATTGATACCTAAAAGGAACACTGCCTTTAGATTGTAATTCATGATTTAAGCATACTAATTCCTCAAAGAATGCTGTTAAAGCGTCTATTGGATATCCTCCAAAACATAGCATGGATTAGACAATGTACTGCACAAAGAAAATGTGATACAAGAGGTTAGCACATCCATTAACAACTCTTCCTTTAGGAATGCAGCACAATTCCTACTATCTTTGATTCTTTCCACATACCTAAAAGTGACAACAAAATCCCAAAGGAAGCCAAAAATATGTTAAACATTTTGAATAGGATATCTCAAACAATCTTTCATGTTTTGTCACTAGTTTGAAAATTTAGTAAGAAAGAAAGTACATAGTACTGACTTCACACATCTACAGAATTCATTAATCTAAAATAAGTAGATCTTGAGGGTTTGTTTGTTTTTTTTTTTAACATGGAAACAGATCAAGAGTTCACAAAATGTAATAAAGAAGAGCAACAGAGAGAGTTACTTTATAAGGTATGTATATACACTTCATGAATTACAGTCCAGCGAGAAAAGACAAAATGTAGTCAGCTCAAAGATAAATATTTAATTACAGGAACACATTCCTTGACAGACACAGAATCAGATCTGTCTTTGTCTAGGACAGGGAACATCATACATTTAGCAACTTCTGTAGCATTTCAGACCCCCAAAAAATTGTACCGAAATGACAAAACAGAATGTCCCAAAATGCTGTTGAAACATTTTTCAAATGAGACCAATAATGAAAAAGAAAAAAACTGATAGTAAAAATATGTGTGTGAAATGTTTATAAATCGAATCTTCATTCTACAGGAAGGAAATACAAATACACGGCAGACAGAAAGATCCATAACTATCCTTTGGTAATCTTCCTTCTCAGCATGTGTTCTTAGATATCAGGAAACATTTGAGGGAATAGTAAAAATATGGAAATAGGATTCCTTTGGACCATCTGGGCAAAGGGAAAAACATGTAACAATGTTATATAATAGGCAGCATGAAAAAGGCATCAAACCAGCATGATGTATGAAGTATTTCAGTTTTCTCTGCTGAAGCTGGGTATCAGTAAAAGAAAAGAATTACCTCCATCCGCTCTTGCTTGACATCATCAATCTCATCGTCCTCAAACATAGCTAAGAGCTCTCCAGTCTGGTCAATGGAGTTGAGGAAGTCTTGAGCAAGCTTCTGCCGTTTGTTGGTGTTACTGCTGTTGAATTTGTCTGAACAAAGGTAAGCAAAGATCAACAAACTTGAGTTATTTGGCTTCTCCAAGCACCAATCGATGTCCCTTGGAAGGACATGGTTTAGAATCAGATGCACTATTCAGAAAAGACCTGTTCTTACTGTTTTCCTCATACAAGTTGTGCTACCTGAGCAAGGTGATGTCACTACTATGCTGCAGTGGCACTGTAGTAAAAAATCACCTTTGGTCTTTTCTAGTATGACCTAGTGGTTTTTGTAATCTGGAGAAACCTAGTCTACTGCTCACATATAATTATTTCTCACAGTGGACAGAGGTGTAGAAGAAACCATCCTCTGCTTGCACAAAAACCTCACTTTTAGAACAGAATACATAGAGGAAAAGTTTTTTCCTGAGAACATGCAGAATATCCTCACTACCTACATCCTAAAGAAAAGCGTAACACAAACATTAAGACACAACTCCACAGGATATGAACTAATGCTCTATAGTAAAGCCTGGAGAACCCTGGACAGGTGATCTCTGTTGTTATAAACAGAATGGCCGCTACAAAGACATTAACGTCACACAACAAAACTAATGGCTTCAACTACCAAAGCCTGCTAGAAAATGCAATCTTTAATTCCCAGATGAACTGTGTTTAGGAAGTATTTAATGAGCTTTTTAATGGCTTTCAAAAATTGGTTATTTGTTTTAAATAGAGAGACAGACTTAAGTATTATAAAAAACAAAGCTTTCAGGTAGAAAGCTATACTGCCAGATTGCTTGCATGAAACAATATACTTCCATGTGTGGTGAAAATAAAATGCCACAGGCAAATTAAATCTCAAATGAGTTGACAAAAACTTATCCACAGATTGATTAAGTCAAAGCAAGATGTACAGTGTTTATCTAACATCAATGTGGATGCTCAGAGAACCAAACACAAGGAATTCATTGTAAGGGAAAAAAAAAGCCAACAAAAAACCTCTGAGAAAGGAAGTAAGCTAAATACAAAAAAAGTGATGTATGGATATGCAAGGTTTAGATTTGCTATGATAAGTTTTAACTTAACATTTAACAAAGGAAATGCTAATTATTCTATCAATATAAATCAACAAAGTTTTGTATCAGCAAATTATACGGCGTAAATGAATATATTTTTTAATTTAAAGGATTTTTCCTTTAAATGCATTTGTTACAAAATCTCTGATTTGCTGATGGTATGGGGAAACAAAAGTGTTTCCCATTCTTTAAATTACAGGTTAGAAGTATAAAACGGTAAACCAGACTGAAAACAAAGCCAGGTCATATATTAGTATTCAGTGACTACAGATTATGGGATTTAAAAAAAAAAACAACAAACCCAAACATGCCAAAACCCTCTGACAATAATTTAACAAATGTCCATTCAACTGCATGAGGTAGCTGCCACATTTAAATTATACATGCTGAAATCAATTAGCCCTTTAATTAGCACCAGTTTCTTACCTCAACAGAGTTCTGACATTAAGCAGTTTTACTTATTATTGGGATCATAGATACCAATACTTGTACAGTGTTTCAAATGAAAAAGCAGGCAATAGTTTTCTGTCTTTAACTATTAAGCTAGATATTCATACTTTGCATTGAGCTGTTCAGTGCATTTATAAAATATTAAGCCTTCCCCAAATTAAGTAAATTCCCTTTTTCTACCTTCAAGGAGGTCATCTTCTTCTATTCCTTTGACAATTTTAGATTTATAGTCTCGAAAAAACATGTATTTAAGTAGCCTTCTAAGCTTCTTCTACAAGAAAAAAATATATTAATTAGCATTTTATAGAGTTTTTTCTTTACGCTAACTTTGTAACATAAACATACAAATGTGTAATACATTACTCAGTAAATATATTTTTTAAAATATTCATAAGTTTTGATTCTGTGAAAAATCCATACCTAGAAAATACATCCAGGTCAGAAGCAATACTATATGAGTATTATTTATCTGAGCTTCTTTATACTTTGCTTGCCAACTGTGAGACAGACTTTCAGAAAGCCAAAATTGAGAAAACAGACTTTTTTAGGACACTCCAAATTCTTTACTTAGTTTGGAAATTCAAGTTTACAAATGCATATTTCCATGATCTTTGACATTCATATTAACCACTGTTTTGAGTATAGCTTTATGGATTATATCAGATTAAAAACCTGCAATTGGTTTTCATGTTCTATCATTTTTTAATTTTGATGTGACTTTGGTTATTAAGTTTCACCTATCAAATGAGGAAAGAAAATAAAGGGGAGAAAAAAGGGTAAGGGAAAAGGGGTAACTAATGAACAAAAGAAGACAAAAGAATAAATAATGTTGATAAAAATAGTTGACAAACATTTATTAATAAATAAATTTGAAGAATAAAATTAATTTCAGCTTTGTATGCAAATTGTTTGTTAAAAAAAAATAATAAAAAATTGACTTGCTCCACTTACTGTCCTTAAAAAGCAAGACCATCCTGAAACTTGGAAAATTTAGTGAGATAAAGTACAGGAAAAATATTATAAAGGCAAATCAAGACAGGATTTACTGACAGCCCAGATGACAAAAATGTAATGGTCACACTATCAAATGTCACACCTACACCCTGCATAAGGAGGTAAAATTAGAATGATTGATCTTTAATAAAAGGCATATAAAGGATAAGGAAGAATGTTTATGCTTTCATTAAGAAACTGTTTTGAGCTCTAAGGTACATTACCCACTCTAAAACTTAATAATTGCAGTTTTGATAATTGCAGTTACAAAAGAAAATGATAGTGAATTAAAATGTTATACAGTTATTGCACTGTGCAAAATACAATACAATTACAGGGAAGTTATACTCTCAAATAAAGCTAATCATGATGAGGGACTCCTTTTAAATCGGTTAAGCAAGCATATCAAAACACAATAAGCAGTTCACTACGTAATATAAGAAATGTTTGTCTTATTGCTATACCTTATCTTTGCGCATCAAGAACAGGAGATCTTCAGCAGAGATGACTCTCGCTCCTCTCAACTGAGAAACTTCAGCTGCTTGCTGCAACTAAAATAAATGAATAAATTGAGATGTCTGTTTCTATGTTAAAAAATTTATTCACTAGGGTTTCTTTTAAATAAGTTCAGATAAAATTTTACATGGTCTTGCATAGCAAAACACAAGATATGCAGTAAAACACAAGCTGGGACTCTCAAAGGTGTCACTCACTTAGCTCCTGTTAGCCAAGAAGTGAAAATCAATTTTATGGAAAGCCTGAAAGACTTTTGATAAATATTAGGCAAAAACATTTTTGTTTATATTTAAAATGAGTGCTTTTTAAAAAAACCACTACAAGCCTATTTTCTTTCCTTGCACCACATCAGCTCAGAAAATGAACACATAATTCTCTCAGGCAATGTAAAAATGCCAAATTCTTGCTATAGCACTTTATCTGCAACTGTGGAATGGTGGCTGATCCCTCGCATGATTTTTTAGAATAACAAATATTAATTTTAAACAGCTTACCTAAGTATTTTTTGACAGAAACTCTACCCCTACTTCACTTATCATTAGTACAAACCAGGCTTACATGAACTTTTTCAGAAATACTTTTTATTTCACTTAAGAGAAAGAAAATTAATTGATAGGCAACACTGTTAATAAAGTAATTAGAAAAAAAAAAATGAGCTGACCAGGCCATTCAGATATGAAAGAGACAAAGATGGGATTGAGCAAAGAATGCCACAAAAATTTGTAGGAGGTGGCCAAAGGAGTGTGAAGCAAAGAATTGTCCTCACCTCCATTGTGACAGTGCCTCTAAAGGCCCCAAATTGTGCTGTGAAGAACAAAAATCTTTTTGTAAGAGACTAAGCACGTCAGCCTTGGATTCACTTTCAGTAGGTTCTGGAAATCAGGCTAGATTATACACAAATAGATCATACCTAAACAAGTGCAAGAGTACAAACCAAACTTGTGCAAGCTGATGCTTACCAAACTATTGTACTAAGGAGGTAAAACCCAAATGTACAAGGGAAGTCTACATGATTTGCTCCTTTCACCTCTCTAGCCTTTGGTTCTGGCATAAGATGATGCTATAGAATAGGTGGGATAGCAAGGATGCTTCACAGCATGGAACATATCCTCTAAATTCAAAACCACTGTCAAAAAGGCAAGTTTCAATCATAGTTTCTCTGTTCTTATCCTCATTAGACATCTGATGGATGAACTGACAGTGAGCACAGTACAAAAGTTAACAAAAGGAGAGACACCTTATAAAATTCTTTATATTAAAACTCATACACACCTGTAACATGATCAATAAACTGCAATTTTATTTATTTTCAAATATCCCTATATTCTTCTTTCAGAAATGCATTAATGCACCTGAAAATAATTTAAAGAAATCCTATCCTTCATACTCACACTAGAAATGGTTTCACTCAGTATCACTGCCTGAATAAGTATATTATTAATCTGAGCTCCCATGCTGCTATGGCTTGAAATGGGCCTATTCAGAAGTTAAAAAGATCAACAAAAACAGTAGCTGTTTCTAATATCCAAAGGAGTAGTGGGGGGCAGGGAAGATTTTCATTTTGGCAAGTGTTCAGTGGGCAAAAGATTCAGTCCATAAATCATAATGCTGGACTGCATTAATTTTTTCCACACTAATCACATGCATACAACACATTAACTGTATCTTGTATGCACAACACAAAACATACTGCGTGAAGAGTTTCAGGTTTTCCCTTGGAAACCCTCTCTTGGCCCTTGCAGTCACAGAGACCAGAGAGATTTCAGGAATTCAGAAGTCACAGTAACATAATCTTACTTGAAAAAAATGTAAGAATGTGAAAAACGATAGTTCTATTTTTTGGGATAAGCAAAACTGTTTCTTATTCTGATTAGGTTTGAGGGCACACAAGCTACTTCTATTTCTAACATAAAATATAAAGAGCTGGATAAAAATAAATTTACAAAGAATGAGCCAGTATTCATCTCTGATGTGAATCTATTGCAGTAAATGTGTTTATTCCAAGGCCAACTTTGCTCCCTCTAAGCCTAAAAGTGCTACAAAACCTGACCTTAGCATAGTGATAACACAACACAGCTTTTCCAAATACCATATAAAACAATGGCAGAAATATCCAACATGAAAGCATGCTCTACTTCCCTAACACGTTTAGGACCATAACTATAATCCTTAAGGTCCCTTCCAAGCCAACCTAACCCAACCCGATCCATTCTATGATTCTTACTGTAAAATTCAGTGTGCTGCTTCTGGCTGCGATAGTTCATTTTCTTCATAGGAGCTGGTAGGGGACTACGTTTTAGATTTGTGCTGGAAACAGCGCTGATAACACAGGGATGTTTTAGCTATTGCTGAGCAATGCTTACACAGAGTCAAGGCCTTTTCTGTTCCTCACCACACCAGCGAGTAGTCTGAGGGTGCACAAGGAGCTGGGAGGGGACACAGCAGGGACAGCTGACCCCAGCTGACCCAAGGGATTTTCCATAACATACAGCATCATGCTCAACATATAAAGCTGGGGGAAGAAGAAGGAAGTGAGGAATGTTCAGAGTGATTGTGTCTGCCTTCCCACTCTCTCCCCATCCCACTGGGGAAGAGTGAGCAAGAGGCTCAGTTACCGTGTTAAACTATGACATTCAGACATGTTCATTTCTGCATGCAGCTGAAAAACCTTATTTCTCAAATGATAAACAAGTGACAACGTCATTCGAAGCAAAGATTGTGTGCAAGCTGCTTACAGGAATCTCCCAATGAAGTAAGGCAGAGTAAGGAGAGACGCCAAATTCACATCCCATTTGTATCTAAGTAAACCCTGAGTTATTCTGAGCTAAACACAAGATCAAAATCCGGAATAATATTCTCAGCTTCTACCAAAACAATGAAAACTTTATTCTCATATTGCCTCGAATTCTGCATCTATTTTATTTTAAGGAATGACCACAGAGCATTTAATTTCTTTGGCTTAAAGAAAGCAAAATACAAAAATAATTACTTCCTGTACAGTTATAAAATATGGATTATTTATCCAAACAGACCATAATGAGTTCTTCATTGGTACACATATTTACCTGGGAAACCAGGATATGCTCAGGTAAATATGTATCTAAGCAATTAAAAAAAAATTACATACCACACAGCCGAGGTTGGGGGGAAGATGTATTTATAGATTTAACACACACATAATTGACTCATTCAAACCACAACATGAGTACTTTGCTATAATTAGTATTATAACAAACTGTCTTACTTGACTGTCCCAGAGTTGCCATTAATATGCAATAAGCCCTGATTCCTTAATATGCAATAAGCCCTGATTCCTTAATTTCCAGCGCTAAAGGCCTTGCTGAGCCATTACCACGGCCGTGTTACATGATGAAGGGGGATTTCAGGAAGCCATACCAAAGAAACAATTCATCTCCAAGCAGCCAGGCGTTTATCATTCCAGAAAAGCAACTTTCTGCTATGTAACCTTTAGATCAGGACGTCTTTTGCCATTTGCTGCAGTGGAAGCATGGCAAAGTTTTACTTTGGGAGCAGCAGGTCTACTGCCCCTATCCAGCTGATAGGCATGATACAAATACTGCTATTACTTTTCACACATGAGGTTTCTGTATAGCAACAGTGGAGATATGGCAAGAATTTTCCTACCATCTCCCTTCTCCAAGCCTCTGTAATATTCAGTGCTGGCCACAGAATTTGGGGTAGCACCAGTTCCAACATACTTGTTGTCTTTTCCTAAATCTTAATGATTAAAATTATTCAGTCTGCATTACAAAATATTTCATTTGAGGCTATCTTGACGAATGGAAAACAATCCAGTTTACTTAGCTTTTTAAAGAAAAATGGGCTAAATTTCCTAACACCAGCAAACAATATTTGAGACCTTGGAGTCTGAATGTATTTTTTATTACAGCCAAATTATGAAACTCAAAATGTGAAGTTTAAATAACGGAAGTGTTGAAATGACTTTAACTATAGGAGCACAAAGAACTCTGTTAATAATTAGGAGTTTATGAAAAATAAGTGTATTTTACAATTTTTCACATTACAAAGAAGGTAGTATATACAGTAACTATATTTTAAAGTCTAAGAAGAAATGGCTGGGGAATAATATTTTAAAATGTAATCACTGGTTTAATGACTTTATGAAGTTAACTTTCTTGGCAGGATGAACTGAAGTATGTTAAAAGTCACCTTATGGCTATTTTCTTTTTGCAACTTCTGCAAATTATAGATTTGTTGAAAGGAGTATTCATTCTCCTATGACAGCACACATTTCCTTCAATGGTACTGTCTGCTTTTTTTTATTCATAATTATTTTTACTTCCACTGCCTCCAAAGTCAACAATCATCGATACTTCTTCTACAAAACTGTCTTGATGGACAAACAGACAAAAAACTGGAAAACAAACATACTGTGTTGTGACATAATCCTTCCAGTTAAACTGCAGGATGGAGTCAAAATGGTAATGTTTGCATGCCTTGAAACTGCTGGGAGCCAAGAATAATGCTTCAGGAGCTATGATTTTGTTTTCATTATAGAAGAAAATTAGATCATAGTTCACCTGGCCAATTTTTTTTTTTTCTGAGCCAGGAAGGTTGTTTTGTTATTGAATATGCATTAAAATGTTCTATTTCTTCATATTTTCTTGATCAAAAGTATGCAACTAACAAAGAATATTCTGAATTTAAACACAGTGCTATAAATGTATTCTAAACAGAGCATCCCCATGCTTTTTGAAGGCAGTTAAATAGAAGAGGTGAATACAGGTTTTCACTCCCATGTAATATCTCACATACTACTAATGATGACACCTGAACTTCTATCACAAACAGGAAACGTACAGATTTCACTTCCAAAAGTCAGCATAGGGATGTGCTTTATCCAGTTAGCACATCCTTGGGATGTAATTACATTACGGAGTCCATTAGAGCACTATGATAGGTAATGATTTAGGATCACCACACAAGGATTAAATAGCATGACTATATTGTCACAAGCTGCCTAAAACATAAAACTTTCACCTGCAGCTCAAAA